CTCAAACCCAGGTCTCTGACTCCAAAGCCATGACTCTTTAAATCACACATGGGATTTAAGAAACAAAACAAAGGAGCATAGGGGAAGGGAGAGAAAAACAACACAAGACAAAATCAGAGAGGGAGAGAAACCATGAGGAACTCTTAATCCTAGGAAACAAACTGAGGGTTGCTGAAGAGGTGAGGGGTGGGGGGATGGGGGAACTGGGTGATGGACATTAAGGAGGGCGCGTGATGTAACGAACACTGGATATTATATAAGACTGATGAGTCATTGAACTCTACCGCTGAAACTAATAATACACCATATGTTAATTGAATTTAAGTTAGAAAAAAACCTCACAAAAGCCAAATAAATTAAAATAAGTTACACAAACTAACCGAGCTTCTGAACCTATGCTATTGCAATTGCTCTGGTTGATGCAACCAGAGCTCAACCCACTCTCTCAATCCAGTGGACTCCATGCAATCCTTACCTTACCTGATTTCCAGACAACCTTGACACCCTTGAAATTTCTTGTATTTCCAGGGACTCTTCTCTCCTCTTTCTCTTCCTCCTCCTCCTATCATTCTTCCTTACTCTCTTTTAGTGGTTCATCCTTCTTCTTCACACACTTAAATGTCAATTTGGTTTTGGCGCATTTCTCATTTAAGCTCTCTCCTTGTACAATCTTCTTTTTCCCAAAGAGTCAGCTACTGTTCATTGCTGAAGATGAATGTGTGTTCATACCCTTAGCCCAGACTCCTGCTCCCAGTACCACATCTGTAGTTTCAACTGATAAATGAATATATTCATTGGAACATCAAATAGGCAACTCAACCTCAATTATATCCCAAAATGAACTTCTCTGCTCTACCAAATCAACTTTTTCATTTGCTTCCTACCTAGGAATGCCACCATCCCACAATCCTGAGGAAGAACCAACTTCTAACAAAAGTGGGTCATCAGGCTCTGGTGGATCTTCTTCCTAAATATGTCTTGGCTCTGTTCCTCTCTCTTTATTTTCCACTCCCAATCAAGAAATCGTATCAGGAATGTGGATGAGCTTAAAATTAGTGGGAAAAACAACATGAGCTTGACTCAGGTCTTTATTCAAACCAGGATCCCAAAGCCAGCCCCCTAATCCAGCCCCTGTAGTTCATAGCTGTTTAATCCTTTTACCCTTTTCTTCTCCAGCACATAAACTTCGAAGTATTATATTATATGTATGAATTTATTTATTATTGAAACTTTCCCTCACTTTAAGCTTCAAACCATGAGGGACTTTGTCATCTTTGCTGCTGTTTGTCAGGGCCAAGAAGAGTTCCTGCTTCATAGCAAGTGTGAGAGAAGAGTATGCATATCAGTCAGCATCTCTGCAGAAAAAGAAGGCATACTTAAACCAGGTACATTAAGATTTGATAAAGGCGCTATTTGGGGGGATCCCTGAGTGACTCAGTGGTTTAGTGCCTGCCTTCGGCCCAAGGCATGATCCTGGAGTCACGGGATCAAATCCCACATTGGGCTCCCTGCATGGAGCCTGCTTCTCCCTCTGCCTGTGTCTCTGCCTCTCTCTCTCTCTCTCTCTCTCTCTCTGTGTGTGTGTGTGTGTGTCTTTCATGAATAAATAAATAAAATCTTTTTTTTTTAAAGGCACTATTTATGAAGGCATGGATAAAGTTGAAGAAAAGGAACAAAAGATCATGTGGGATCTCAGGCTGGTAAGAGCTGGGAGGACTCAGATCTGCTGGCCGAGTAGGTAAAGGAGGAGACAGTTACTGGAACACTTGGTGGGATGTGGAAAAAAAGCCATGTGAGAGTACCACCTGACAGCTGTGACCTTCAGTAGAGGGGCACAGCCAGCCTCCCCAGGGCACCACCCTAGCAGGGAAGGAAAAAAAAAATCCTGATTTATCATCTTGCCCTCTGATTTCCTGCTCATGCCCCTGTTGTCCTAACCCAGCTAGAAAGTAAGGGAGCACATGAATATGGTTCATGGTCCACAGGAGGGGAGAAGGGTGGAGAGAGACACAAGGAAGATGCAGTATATGTGTTTTAAAGTGAATGAAGGAGACACAGGTGAATGAATGATAATCTTAACTTTATTTTAATACACATAAAAGTAGTATGTCACTCAAAACTGCAGCACTTTTACTGCCATGAACACAAAATCGCTTTTGGATGCACCTCATGCCCTGTGCAGATAGACCCTGGCTGAGAACCCCTACTATCCACTGAGGCCAGTGGCATAGTTTAGAGTTCTTACCTGATCACATCAGTGTCATTTTAATTTTTTTTAATTTTATTTTTTTAAAAAAAGATTTTATTTATCCATTCAGAGAGACAGACAGAGAGAGAGAGAGAGGCAGAGACATAGGCAGAGGGAGAAGCAGGCTCCCGGCAGTGAGCCCAATGAGGAACTCAATCCCAGGACTCTGGGATCATGACTTGAGCCAAAGGCAGACAGACACTCAACCACTAGGTCACCCAGGCACCCTGTCAGTGTCTTTTTTTTAAAGTGGTAACAGTTCCTCTTAGCCTACAAAACAACTTCCAGGCTCTTTGCCTGGCATACCAAGTCCATTGTGATTCGATCCTGTTCCTTTTCTGGGCTTATCCTCTCTTACCCAGAGCACCGTGCCTCTGCTCACCCAGTACACTTGGAGAAAGGACCACACCTAGTCCTTTAGGCTTCTTCTATGTCTTTGCTTATGTTCCTTCTTCTGCCTATAGTTTTTTTTTTTTTCACCTTAATCTCCTTTCCATCTTACATACACCTTCCCCAAGCTAAATCATGCTTTTCTTCATGAATGCCTTGGGTGTAACACCTCTGATGCTTTCTACGGAGCTCTATCCCACTCTGCATGATTTTCTTTGTTCATGTACACCTTACTTCATTCCAAAGAGATTTAGGGTAGGGACCTTATACAGTTAGACCTCCTTCATTTGTACTCTCGCAACATTTTGAAATGTCTTTATTTACACTTGTATTGTATTATTTAAATTTCTGCTACAGGATAGTCCTTGAGAGCAAAGACTCTGGATTTATTTACAATGAAACTCCAACATCGAGAAAACGCCCAGCACACAGTACTTAGTACTTACATAATTGTATGGTGAATAAATGAGTAACAAAAAGGAGCCTAAAGTTCTGAATCATCCAGTATGACTCCAACTCACTGGATCCTAAAGTTTTAGAACCCAAGGAATAAAGCAGAATTGATTTTTGTGATTGTAAAAGTGGAGATGGAAGTGATTCTTTGGATTCTTGGGTACAGGTATATGGATAAACAAATCATTCTCTGATGTTCATTCATTAGCTGGAAATATGAATACTCCAAGGAGGCTACAACACTTAGAAAAGTAAATGAACAAATGGAAGGTGTAGATTTTAAAGTAGGACCAAGGCATACCTTCTCTCACATACTAAACACTCTGTCAGTTATAAATCACTATACAAATATTAATGACTTATCATCATTATAATTAGTCATCATCACTCGATAAGAGATACACTTAATTCTAAAAAGTGTTAAATATTTGCGATGATAGAATAAAATGTTTCCACTCTTCCTGCCTGGCCTTGGTGTTTTTCCTCTGTAACTTTAACATTTCATAGCTTGGTTCTCCTTTTGGAGACTAGATAAACCCCTGAGATGGGGAGGGGGTGGTAGAGAAGGAATATTTAGTGAGCTTAGAGAACATTTGGAGGGCAGAATTAGGTATTTCGCAAAATTTGGAGCAGCTCAGATCTCCTCTAGTGTACTTCTCCTTCACTATTTTTCTTTTTTACATTTCTTTTGAGATAAAATATACGTGCATTGGAATTCACAGATCTTAAGTGTACAATTCTATAAATTCTGACAAATATATATACACATGCTACAAAACATCCTTATCAAGAAATAGAGCATTTTCAACACTCCAGAAATTTCCCTTGTGTTTTCTTCCAATCAATCCTCATCTCTATAAGCAACCACTGTTCTGATTTTTAATATCATAGATTAGTTTGGTCTATTCCTGCACTTCATATAAATGGAACTACATAGTAGGTATTCATTTGTGTCTTGCTGTGCATCAACATAAGGGTTACGTGATTCATCCACATTACTGTGTTTCAGTAGTTTCTTCCTTTTAATTACTGCATACTATTATAATGTATAAATATACTACAATTGCTCTATCTGTTCTCCTAGGTGATGACGTGTGGGTTGTTTACAGTTTTCAGTTATTATGAATAAAGCAGCTGTAAACATTCATGTGCAGACTTCTTGCAAACATAATGCTCTTATTCCTCCTTGTAGATCTCAAAGAATGGGATTGGCAGTTATATGTTTAACTTTATAAGAACTCCAATTTTCCCAAAATTATTGTATCATTTTATACTGTCACCAGCAATATATGAGAATTCCAGTTATACCACATTCTTACCAATTTAGTGTTATCAGTCTTTTTAATTGTAGCTACGGTAGTGGATATGAAGAAAAACCTCACCAAGACTTAATTTGCACTTCTTTGACAGTTAGTGAGTGATGTTGAACACTTTTTCAGGTCTTACTGAAATTTTGTGATGTGTCTGTTCGAGTCCTTTCTCTTTTTTTAAATTGAATAATGTGTCTTATTACTGGGTTGTAAGAATTCTTTATATATGCTTCATACATATCCTTTGCTATACACACACACACACACACACAGCTAGAATGGGGCAAATAGAAAATACTGAAAGGATAATTTTCATAATGCTTATAATGAGGAGACATTTTTATTTTTGATGAAGTTTTACTTATAATTTTTTTCTTTGGGGATTAGTGCTTTTTGCGTACTCTTGGAAAATTATTTTCTGGATATGAATGTCATTTTCTTCCAGAAAATTTATAGTATTAATCTTCATGGTTAGATGTATGATCTATATCATATTACTGTTTGTTTGTGGTGTGAAGTAGTGGTCAATGTTCATTTTGTTTTATGTCGCTATCCACGTGTTCCAGCACCAGTTTTTGAAAACGCTTTCTTTTCCCACAGAACTGCCCTAGCATCATTGTCAAAACCCAATTGACTAGGTATGTGTAGGCCTATTTCTGGGCCCTCTATTCTGTTGCATTGACCTATGTGCCCCTCCTTTCATCAATAGCACACTGTCTTGATTGCTGGTTTTAGAGAAAATCTTTAAATCTGGAGACGAGGGGAGTCCTTTGACTTTGCCTCTCTTTTTTGGGATTTGTCTTTTCTAGGTTCTATCATCAGGGACCTTTTAGAATCAACTTGTCAATTTCTGGAAAAAAGCCAATGAAAACTATTTGACCATGATTTCATTGAATCTCTAGGTGAGTTTGGGAAGAATTGACATCTTAATAATATTAATATTCAATATCTTAACATTGTTAGCATTAATAGTAACACTGAATTTTGAAATCCAAGACTATTGTCTTAGCTCGAGCTGCTGTAACAAAATACCATAGACTGGGTGGCTTAAACAATAGAAATATATTTTCTCACAGCTCTGGAAGCAGGGAAGTCCCAGATCAAGGTTTAGGTTGAAGTCTACCTTCCTTGCTTGCCTACAGCTATTGTGGCCATGTCATCAAATGGCAAAGAGAGAGAGAATTCTGGTATCTCCTACTTCTCTTTTGAGGCACCAACCCAATCAGATTAGGGCCCCACCCTTATGACCTCATTTAACTTTAATTACCTCCTACAGGCCCAATTTCCAAATAGAGTCACGTTGCATATTAGGGCTTCAGCATGTGAATTTGGGGAGGAGACAGTTCAGTTCATAGCAACTATGTTATATCTCTTCATTTATTTAGGCCCTTTTTAGTTTCACTCAGCAATATTTTATAATTTCCAATATAGTGGTCTTGCACATCTTTTGTTAAATATATTCCTAAGTATTTTGAGTTTTAATGTTATTTTAAATGTTATTTTAAATTTGATTTTCTGGTTTTTTGCTTCGAGTACATATATAAATACAGTTGATTTTCATATATTTCTTCTTTTAAGGGACATTTTTGAAGGAAGACTTGGCTGGGAAAATTTGACTTAGAAGAACTTAGTGATGTCTCGCAAATAAGACAGAAGCATTCGGTTTCGGAGCTATCTCTTTAGAGTTAGGCTGAGGTAGCCACACAGTTCTTAGCTTATAAATCCCAGACACAAGGGGCAAACACCGCCTTCTTGTAGTGAGGTAGTCATTCTTCACTTTCTCCAGAGTAGCCAGTGCCACCTCTGAGAGATCCTTTCAGGATGGCTGCTCCTCTCTGGGATCCTGTTTCTGACACAAGAACAAGAAGACTGTCTTCCATTTGTCCACATGAGCAGCTGTCCAGTCTGGTGGTCTGACTCCTTAACCAAAGACATCATTGTTGTGCCATGTATTCGCGTGACAGATTCCATTTTTAAGCAGCCAAAGGCATACTGAATGTAATAACTGAAAACTTTTCTGGTACCTTTCTCCAAATTTAAAGTTTCTGGGTAACCAGGGTAGGTGGCTGTGTTTTTGTTTGTTCGTTTTGTTTTTAAATAGGGTTACATGGAGATTGGATAGACAATGAACTACAACAAGAAGAAAATCTAAAAGAGACCAACAACTCTTTATGGAAAATTTAACTCTGTGGCTACGGTATTTCTGATGCTCTCACCTTGGCAAAATGTTAGAAGTCCCTTGTAGAAGAAAACATAGAGTTGAGAGGTTGTATGTGCCTCAAAGACACTGACTTGGATGTTCAAAAAACTCTTTTCTTTCTTTCTTTATTTGTATTGAGGCTGGAGAGGGACATAACCCTTTAGGTGAGAAAGTAAAGGGGCACCTGGGTGGCTCAGCAGTTGAGCATCTGCCTTTGGCTCAGGTTGTGATCTTGGGATCCTGGGACTGAGTCCCATATCAGGCTCCCCAGAGGGAGCCTGCCTCTCCCTCTGCCTCTCCCTCTGCCTATGTCTCTGCCTCTCTCTTGGTGTCTCTCATTAACAAGTAAATAAAATCTTTAAAAGAAAAAGAACGTAAAAGTGTTTATTTCAAACAAGCTTGGCCCTTTCTTCTCCGAAATGTAATCAGGTACCTCCACTGCAAAGGACCCGACCAAAATTAGGAGCCATCGGGGCTCTCTTAAATAAAATCCTACATCTTGTAGGGACATGTTGAACAGAAATACTGAAAGGTTAGCCCCTCAGATTCTCATCCATTTGATACAGGGCCAACTTTTCTATTTAGGTGAACTCACCTCATGTCTTCAAATCAAGTGTCCCTCTAAATACTAAAGAAGACGCTGATTTTCCACAGTGTATTTGTACAATGTGATTCTTACTGTCATAAAATAACTGCAAGGACACACCACAGCGAATTTATTATAATCTTCCGTGAAGTAATACTCGGTGATTCACTTTTTATTCTCAGAGCTTGTATTGTTGCTAGATACCTCGGTAGGCACAGAATTGCAGTAGGCCATCCATTCAGTCTGCTGATGTTTATTTAGCCTCTTTTAGTTTATCCTCTGGAGAAGCTTTTGATTCCAAAGAGACAGGGGGCATAAATCCATCAGCGGGGATTTAGGACAAATTAGGTTTAATAGCCACAGAGTTGCAATTTTGCCACTGTACTTTTTAAATATCCATTCCAATTTGTTAATACAGCATAGATTAGTTTGAGGATGATTTCAGACTCCCCCGTTGAGAGTTTTACATATGTAAAATCTCTTTAAGGTCAGAAGTTAAGTGTGCATAGTTACAAAGGGCCTTTAACCTCATAGGATAATAATACAATTTTACGGTCTAGGTTAAGAATTCCTCTCCCAGTTATTAAGGCTAAAGAATGAACCTCGGTCCCAAAGAAAACATGCCTGAAGAGTGAGAAACGTGGCCACTGCTCATATCCCAACAGCAGAGCTGCCACGGGGAAGGCAGAAGATAAAAGTAAGAAAAAGAAAACAAAAAGGCTTCCAACAGACAATTCACACATGTCACAAAAATCCACCCTCCTGTGTCTGAAGTCACACATATGTCTCTGTATTTCTATATTTAGGCTTATCTTTGCAATATCTTTGATTGTAGAAGCTATAGAGCTTTTTATTCAAATGGGCATTTGCAAACGATATGTTTCCATTTGCAACACACATCATTTCAAATCATCCAGATGCCATGAGCTCTTGCTTAGTCCACTAATTTATGTGACTTTGGAATTGTCGGATTAAAGCCTAATTTGACGACCAAATTTCCTTGTAAATGTAATTAGAAATACAAGGCATGAGGCAACCATACGGCAGCTCGAGCTGAGTTAAAAGTATCTGCACATCCTAAAACTTTTACTCCTTTTTATTTGAATCATCCGTGTCTTATTTCAGATATGTGTTTCATTGCCATCAACAATAGAATTATTTTCATGTTGTGCCACACTGTCTTAAAAGATAATGTCAAACCGATGTGGCTTTTATCACGGTTTTATGAGGAATGCCACGTGACCTCTGCAAGATGGAAGAAAGCCACACAGGCACTTGCAAAAATGGGTAAATAATCTGTGCTTGAGTTTGTATGTGAGGGAAGGTACCATTAACTGATTTAGTGCGTATGTCTCTACATCCAAGAGGCCAATCTTAAAAGGAGTTCATTTCTCTCCTATGTGAAGAGTAAAATAAGCGTTCATGATGGGTGAGGTGACCCTCGTCCAAATGTGGGTTTGGGGACCCAGACTCCTCTCAACTTGTGACTGTACAATCCTCAACTTGGGACTGTTGAGGACACCAGCCTTGCATGCATCAAGCTGGTCAATGTTGCAAGAATATGACGGATAGCAGGTGGGAGGTTTATACAGGCCTGGCTGGGAGCTGGCATGTGTCACTTCTCACATTTCATTGGCTGGAAGTCAATCACATGGGCTCATATAACTGCAAGGCTGGATGGGAAATGTCATCTGGCTTTGTGCCCTGGCGAACAGGGACATCTTTATCAGTAAAGATAGCTGTGCTTATTTTTTGTTATATCAAAGTAAATGACCGAAACTCTTAAATGAAAGACCTTTAATAATCTGAGGATGAGTATCTCTCTAATTTGTGGGCACACCAGAAATTTAGAGCTAAGATGATAAAATTATATTTTCTGTCTGTCTCAGAAGGAATATTCCTTAAAGAAGTGGTGTGGTGTGGTAGGAAAAGCAATAGGCCCAGATTCATGAAATCTGAATTGTTTCTTCCCATCTGCTACTACTTGAGTGACCACAGGCAAGTCACTTTCAGGGCTTTGTTTTTTTTTTTTTTTTTTTTCTCATTGGTACAATTCAACATGAAGTTAAATGATTGGTTGGGTTCCAGTCAATTGCTTACAGTTTGTGACTCATTGACCTTGTTTGGTTTTCTTATATTTGGGAGATCTATAATAAGCGGAATGCTAAATGAATATTTTGCATGTTACTTATGCTGTATCATGGAACTACTATTTTATCTTTAATTTACAGGGCTTATGCGAACATTTGATAAAAGTTTTGCCTTTTCCCCTTCTGTCCACCAAAGCTTTTAAGATTTACCCTTTTCCAAGTTTCTCACTGCCTATTTTTTCGTGGAACAAAGGTTAACAAAGATACCATTTTTACAGATAGCTACTCATTAAACCATTACAGTCTTAGGTTTGCAGAATAAACTGGGTCATGAAGCTTACTGGCTGTCATCTGTGAGGACAGTGAGTAAGGAATTGAACTTAGGTCTGTCTGTTCAATCCCCAGCTGTCAAATTGCCTCTAGACGATAGATGGGATATTGTTTAACATTAAAATGTTTCCTGAAGGTCTTTGCTTTCCCTATATCCAAAATCATCATAGAAAAGAGATTTTCGCAGTAAGATTTTTCTCTTTTCCTTAATTTCTTATTTCCTTTACTTCTACGGGTATAGAAGTGTATGTGTGCATGTGTGCAATTTTTATTTTTTATTACTATCATTTTTAAGATGTTATTTATTTATTTGACAGAGAGATAGAACCAGAGAGCAAAAGCGTGGGGAATCGCAGAGTGAGAGGGAGAAGCAGGCTCCCCTCTGAGCAGGGAGCCTAATGTAGGGTTGTTAGGGTTAGGCTTAGGCTTAGGCTTAGGGTCCCAGGACCCTGGGATCACTGCCTTAGCCAAAGGCAGGCGCTCAACCAACTGAGCACTCAGGCACACATGCCTGCACCTGCATTTATTTATTTATTTATTTATTTATTTATTTATTTATTTTCTGTGCCTGTATTTAAAATAAGGTGCATGCTCTCCCATTTCCTTCACCTGAGCACATTTTGCAGCCCTGATATTCTCAACAGGGCAATGGATTAAGATTTTTTTCAATTTAATTCTTCCAGACTTTTCTTATCCTGCCCAATGTTTTACAAAAAGCCTCTCTTCTCATTTTAATGAATTTACTGAGGACAAGATCTAGAAATTTTCCCACTGAGTAGCAGAGGATGATACACCAGGGTGCTTCATTTCCTTGGATCGGAGTATATAACTATGGCCCTTGGATCTTACAGCATTTTCTTAGTTCACTAGTGGAGAGAAAACAAAAAGAAAGCAAAACAACACAATACAACACAAATGTTTAAGGACCTGTTTCTTTTTGTAGGATAAGTATCATAACAAGAGGCCAGGGCCTCACCCTTCTGAATCTTCCTAGAGTAGGTATTTCTTTAATTCCCACTGGGCTCAAGGGAATAAGGATCTGGGCAAATAACTGGTTTCACATTATCTGTTTTCATCACAGAACTTCAAGACACTTTACCAACACAGATTCATTCCCATCACACTTACGAGAAGTAATATCGTCCTCATTTTGCTGATGGGAAAAGTGGGGCACTGGGGGTATAAGTGACAAAATCAGAGAATGTGGCAGAGCAGGCAATCGTACCCAAGGCTCTGGAGAGCCAGGCCTTTGCTCCGACAACTACATAAAACTTCTTCCGAGGATGTGGCTCACATTTTTAAAAGATATGTCTTACTTTATTTTTAAAGCACAGAGAACCTGCTGAAGAGACAGAGGGATGAAAAAATTTAATAACTCTTACTTAGAAGGTTGAATGATGCATATTGTTAGAACTTGGAAAATATCATCCACCTGGAACAATCCAAGGCAGTGAAAAGCTGTGAAACTATTAACAAACAGAAAAATAGGAAATGAAAAATATTCATAGGGGTTTTTAAAAATAGA